AGAAAAATCTCTAACTTCCTGACTGACTCTCCGACATGTGCGGTAGTGTAACGCATGGAAGTGTAAGACCGAACGAAAGATTGTACGCGTTCCGTACCCTATTTGCAAAGGTATTGCTCAGGCGTTCGAAAAAAAAGACGGAAAACCACGCATTAGACCAGCCGACCCCTAGAATTTTCCTTTATAATGTGGCTGAATTAGACCACCACCTAGATATATATAGTATATATATATATATATATATATATATATATATATATATATATATATATATATACTGTATATATCTAGGTGCTGTTGATTAGACTCTCCTGGATTATTCTGCCATTAGTTTTTGTCAATCAAAACCTGTTGTAAATTTTAAATCTGAACTGTCCTTTCAATTTGTTCGAGTTTCATACTCTGAAAATGTATGAAAGAACCTTTCACTTCGAGGAGGAGAAGCAGGAGAGGATTATTTATACGGAAGTTAGTGAGTCATGGGTAATTTATAATGCCTTCATTGTTTTAATATTTTAAAGTTATTAGGATATACACAGATCCCCTTATTTATGATGAAAAACATTATTTTCGCTTATTTTTAAAATATTGGAATTTTTATTTTGTATGCATATTTGCAATAGAATTATTTTTGAACTATTTTTGATGTTTAATAAAAAATAGATGACAATATGGGACAGGATTGAGATGTGACATTACACATTTTCGAGTATTACTGGCGCTATCTGTTAACGTTCTTGAGAGGCAGCTGCAAATCGTTTGTAAGTTTCCAGGTTACAAGTCATTTGGTTCTGAGTTGTGGTTATGAGAGCATAACACAGGAAAGTTTATAATTTCGATGCCCTGAAAATTGTGCGGAGAGTTTTTGAACTTTTCTTATCGCGATTATCAGATAAGGTAAGATAATTTATTTTATTATGTTAGTTGACATGTAGATATGTTTGTATGTTCTTCGTACATCGAACCCATTTTGTTAGCCTAAACAAAATGTTTTTAGGTTAATGCCAAAAGCTGAATCGTGATATTAGGAGTACGATTATATTGATTCGTCTCATTTAAATATAATTATTTTGTCTTCAAGTTCTCTGCATGTAAAGATGAGGCGTTTGTAATGGTTGCATTTTAACTCGTGTGTTCCTACTTTTACTTCAAAAAGAATTATGCGCAGCATTTTTCGGAGACCTCATATCTCAGTACATCTGCATTTGAGATTTCATTTTCAATTTATTGAAAGTAACAATTAATATTGTATTTCTACTTTATGCGAGAGAGCAAATAGGCATGTTTGATACTCATCAAGATGTGATGCTAAAAGGTATAAAAAAGTTTTTTATATTCTTTCATGAAGAAAGATTGTCCAAACCCGGTCAAAAGATTACTTAGACATTACTTGTCACAACTTATTGACAATTTACCTCAAAATGCTCAACAATGGGAGAAGCACATTTCAAGGTGTAACTTTTTTGTTACAAGACAAATGCCTTATGATTGTTGAAAACAATATCGTTAAAAGAATGATATTAAGACACTATTATATGTAATATGACCAGGTTCTGTACATTTTAAAAGCAAAGTCATGAATGATTTTCAAGAAGTTTAAAAATACACATTATAATTGATTGTAATTAAATGGTAAACATAATATTGATATAATTATTGTCTGACTCGTAATGTTATTATATGAAATTTCACAAAAGTTTTACTCAGTATCATATTATAATCTGTTGGTGCAAGGTTCCTTGCAATTACACCTGCTGAGAGCGGGATGGTAGTGGGATTGCAAGTTCCGGTTATTAATACAACACATTTATTTAAGTAATCTGTGGAATGGCTCATGAGCAGTGTACTAGCCTCCCGGGCTGAGATCCCAGGTTCGATTCCTGGTCGAGGCAAAAATAGTGTTGTAGCTTGCCTTTAAAATCGTCTGTTTCTGTGTGTCGAACTTAGGCTTAGAACGTAGCTTAGAGCTTAGGTGTAGAACGTAGGCAACAGTGCTAAGACAGGCAGAAATTTCTAGTTCCGGTGAAGGTAATAGTATTTCTGTTCGCCACATGTGCATCTTACCCCGAAACCTGGGAATTTAACTAGACTCGCCCATGGAAGTCACTGGTAGCTAGTTGGTAAAGTCGGACAGTCGACCCAAAATGCCAAGTACGAACATACATTTAATCAAAATTACATCGAACATGAAGGCTTTCAAATAAATGGATGAATCGAAGCATGCACATGAAATGAGTGGTTAAGGAGAGTTTACAGTTTGTTAACTTTTGCGGCTTATTGTATTGACAGAGGAACTGGGAGTAATTTCCTGCCGCAACAAATAGCATGCAATCCTATTGATATTACTTTTAATAGCCGGTTTCATTTATTGGCAGTCTTGCCCCCTTGTGGGTGGAGCAAAGCGGGTGATGACCAGGCTTGAAATAACTGATATACGAGAGTTTTGCAAGTTCTGCAAATGCGCAGTACGCGCAGCTGCGTGTGCGTTTTGTTTTGCGTTTGAGTTGTGCATCACTTTTAAAGATTATATGTTTACATTGCGCATAAGCAGAAGATCCAGATTGCAGTTAATTGCTGTACGTTATACCGTGCAAAAAATCTCAATATGTTCTTATTACCTTAACGTGGAAAGGTATTTTCCTTTTCCACCATGATGAAAAAGTTTAGAGGTGTTTTTGAGAAAATATTTGTCTATACATTGCAAACATTTCACGCAGAATCCACTCGTTTTTCAAATAATTGTTCAGGATACTTTTTAAAGAGGTGAGGTTTTAGAACTGATTTTGTTTAAGGTAAAATCTATCTCTTCAATTTTGTAGTTTGAAATAACTTTATGCAATTTTCAAAAATACTGTGTTCGCCGGAAATAAGAATAGAACAATTTTTTACCGTTCATGAATTCATACTAAGAGAATAGTTTAAAAAATTGAAACCTTTTAAAAATAAAAATGCTTTAAAAATGTTAAAATTGCCTATAGGCTATCTCACGCAAAATTACGCAAAAATTACTTATATTTTCGAAACATTATTCCTGAACTTATTTCAAGCTCTGTCTTTAAACAACAGATTTCATTCAAGAAGATGTCATCTTCGAACGAAAATGAGACCTGCATCATTCTCATAAGAATCCTTTACGCTATCTGAAGTCGAAGCTTAATCAAAAAATCTTGAATTATTTTTGAGAAAAAGTTGAAAATGTAGGCTCTGCCGCTCGACGGAAGCGCTGCTGCGTGGCGTCATGGGAAGGCGCCCAAAGGACCCAGTCGGCTTGACGCGCACGCTTCCCTCTTCGCCCACAAATTCGACACCCCGACACTCGCAATTTTCGTTTGTTCCCAGAAGGAACGCTGTGCCCCCCTCTCTTGCACGTGGGATGCAGCCATCGCCGCCATCCTGTGCTTGACTGTGAATGTTAGTGGCATGGTGCACCGTTATTACATCGTTCTCGGAGATCCCGATCAGATAAAATTACGAAACCAAAAAGTTTTCAAATTACTTTAAATGAAAAACAGTCTTACACACTTTCTCAATCCCGAATCTGGAAAGACCGATTAAAACCTCCATACATTTTCCTTCCTTTCATGCACAAAACTTTTGCACTATTTTCTCTCATTTACACAACATTTAATATAAATACATTATCTAAAAATAACTCATTTAATTGACCTTATTGTAATTTATTTTACCCTAATAGGGACAATCAACGTGCAAGTGATTAACTCTGATAGGCTACTTAATTGTAATTTTTAAAACACCCGAAAGATTTGCACAGTCAAACAGGCAGAAAATAAACAAAAAAGAAATCGCGTATTGTTACAATATGTCTGAAGTTACATGCTTTTGGTCTTACAGGGAGATAATATTTGTTTATGCATTATATAAATTATTCCTACGTTTTGTAGAGAAAACATAACTAGTTCTATACATTTGTATATACAATTGTATTATGACAGGGGTCACTAATGGCCTTGACGTTATAAAGCGACCATAAATAAATAAATTTAAAAAAAACTAGTTTCATGAAGCGAAAAGAAACATCTGTTCATTTAATGGACTGTTCCACCTCTTGCACTATATTTCTTCTAAGGCGCAGGTGATGCTCCACTAAGCGCTTCTAAGTTGGTGACGAGGGTCCAAGTTGACTGAGAGTTTACTTTGGTGATGGGGGTCCGGCGTTTGGGGTCAGCGATTAACTTAAAACTTTTTTGATTCAGCCCAAAGAAATTAATAACGCATTTTATGCCAAAAGATGGTGAAATGACAGAATATAATACAGAACATAGACTGATTTTCTCGCGATTTCCAGTATTGAACACATGGTTCTAAAGCAGATTGAAAACTATCCTTTATCTCTCTTAAAAAATGAATATCTTCACAAAACTATCACTCTCAAATCAACATTCATCGCAGTTTTTCAGTTTTTTTTTCTTTGAGCACAAGATTGTGTACTTGAAATCTTAAACCTGACACTAATTTTAAAAAAACCTCTATTGATAGGAAATTTAACAGAAATTTTTACCCCGCGCCCGGGCTTTCTTAATATTATGTACGAGAGTACAAACTGAGGAGTATTTGGAGAGCTATTTTCTTAATCCACCTTTATATTTACATAACACACCTAGTGATTTAGCACTTTCCTTTCAGAGCTTGGGTGAAAATGATGTTGAAGTAAATGAACAGATTTTCATTGCCAGTGGAAGGGGCCAAACAAGATTAACTCCGCGCGTTGCGTTGTAATGCCTTTACGGAGAAGAGCTAACTTACGTTCCTGTGGTATCCAAACACGTGGTGATGAACAACGTTTGTCTTGAACCGTCGTTCCACAGTGCACAGAGGTTGTTAAGAATACATCAAGGAAAAGGTTGCCTCATGGGTCCGTCGAAACTGCCACTATCAGTCCCTTTTCACTGGAACACTTGAAGGAGATGTATTCTCGAAATTTAAGGTAAACAGATAAGGGAAAGGAGGTAAGGGAAAATAATTGAAGGCATTTATGTATTGTTTATTTATTTTTTATTATTCCCTGTACCTGTAGACCTATATTCAAGGAATTTGAACAAATGATTAGATGATAATGACGGCGATATGATGAATGATGTAACACATATAGAACGAGAGGCAGGGGCGACGGGAGAAATCTTAGGAAATCTGCCCGGAGAAATTGTTTGGGTATATTTATAGTTATTAACGTCACAAGGCTGAAAAACAGCAAATAACCAACCGAGTCTGTTACATGTGTTATTGGCCGTGTTTCATTCAATACCTACGAAATACCTCTTCTTATAAGAAAAAAATATAAACAAGAAATACATTTTCTTGCAGTAGGAGCACTCGTACGTCATCGTACCAATCTATTGTTTCGATTCTTCTTAACGGACGACGGACTGTAAAATCCTTAACGGACGCAGGCCGTTAAAAGCGGCTTTTCGTTTCTCCGATTGGTTGCGTTACGTCGATATAACAACACAGCATTACGAAAAAATACACGCGTTTACGCACAGAGAACTTCAACAATTTATTCACAGGGGTGTGACAGCTACGCACGGGAGAGTGTGTGAGGGCGCCGGGGGCGGAGGCGGCGCACGCGAGGGCTCTGGCGCGGGCGCGGCCTCCAGCACCGGTAGCCAGCGACACCACACGCGTGTGGCAGGCACCGCAGAGAAACATTGGAGGCGATAGACCGTCACGTGGAACTCGACTTGTTGAGGTCGGTCGCCTTTACGCGGCGGATTTTTGTTGTGCGTGTTGAAAACGACTTTTGGGGAGTGGATACCGAAATGATTTTTTGTGTTAATATTTCGTTTATTTTTGAGTAAAGGAACGTGAACCGTATGTGCCACTCTAATGTCGTGTACCAAACATTCTGTCGTTCTGATGAAAAGGCTCCGAAGAGCTGCGGAAGGTTCGAGTTTTAATTAAATAGTATTCATCAAAATGAATTGCCGCACTGGCGGCTAAGATGCACGCACTTTACATCTGAAAAAGTATTTCGTAATGGCGGCTACTCAAAAACCATCGATACCGAGCTTTCATATTCGTTAATTAGATTCTCAATGAAATTCAATATTTCCTTCGCTTGAAATATGGAATATATCATCCAATCAATAATGGTACATCTTCTCGTAAATATGTGAAATAGTTTACAAAGCCACATGATGCATACGACTCGCGCATTTTGCTTGGAAATAATGAATATAGTACGAAAATCAAATTGGCGCCAGTTTCGCAAAAGCACTTTTTAACCCACTTTTAACTTAAGTGACTGCCAGCGTAGACACCGCCTACAGACTGCCATACTTGCGTTATCGTATTCCATACGACACAAGATATCATTCCAAACAGCTTGTTCAGCACTCACGCATGGAAACTGTTCATTGATTGAAAGTGTCATTTTACCTGACGCGTACAGCAATGTAGACTTTGCCATACTAATATCGCAAAGAAATCATGGCCATATAAAACAAAGTAAACTAACCACTAGGGTGGCATGTGTCAACAAATCTTCCGTCTTACATTTTGAGAATAATCCCAAGAGTGTCCTTGAATTCGTAATAAGTGCTAATGTACGCAACTTGTACAACAGCGTCTTTGACATAATGCCGGATTTCAAAATGCCGGATTCGGTTCCATTCGTATGGCAAAGATCGCCTTTCGGTAATCTTTACGTAAATAACAATTGCTTGGTGCCTACCACACGCGACTTCGTTTGCTGGCTGCCGGTCTCTCCGCGTCGGCGCCGAGGTTGTCAACGAGGGAGAGGACGGGAGAACGGGCTTGGGTGGGCGGGTGGGGGTGGGGCGTTACACGTATGTGCTCTGCACCTCCGTGGTGTGCGAGGGCGTGGACCACTTGGCGAGCAGGCGCGGCTTGAAGAGCTGGCCGAAGGTGGTGCGGAACTGGCGCGACATGGAGCAGTAGAGGATGAAGTTGATGGCGCCGTTGAGCAGCGCCAGCGCGTCCATCAGCTCGCCGAAGATCTGGTAGCACTTGAAGAAGAAGCAGTCGCCGAAGAGGCCGCTCAGCAGCCCCAGGATGCCCTGCAAACGCACCGCCTCATTCATTCATTCATTCATTCATTCATTCATTCATTACACTAGGGAACAAGATTTTTACCGCCAGAATGGTAGAGTGTGCAGGGTACTCTATGTTGTACGTATATTACAATAAAACAGCATATCACGCCCCAGTTTTCAAATATACAAAACGTTTATATTGTATCATACCGTATTTTGCTATTATTACAAATACATTTAAATTGCCCCCATAGATAAGTAGAGTCAACACGTATAAAATATATTTAAAAATTAAATATTTGTTTACTTTATCTATGCCACTCTCATGAGATATCAACAAAATGAGGTTTTTGTCTGTTTTTCCTTGTATAGTCGAAAATTGATCTCTTTATTCTCGCGTCTGGTAGTGGCGCTCAATTACGAGTAGGTCTTCGTGGATGTTTTGAAAATTAGTAAGTACATTCTCATATTTTCTATTACTCGTCAGTCAACGAAAGGAATGATTTTAGTCCCTTACCTTATCGCAAGTATACGAGTGTCCAAACTGTTAGGGTGGGAGATTCCGAGTCAGTCGGTGTCATGCGGAACTGCACCGGCAGTGCGCGTGAAGTGCGTTCGGTGTGCGTGTTGCCTCAAATACATTAGTACAGCACAGTTCTGTGGACTTTTAATAAAGTAAAATTCGCCACATGGACTGTTGAATTAAATTTCTTCGATAAAATGTAAAACGTCATTTCAGATCCAATGTCTTGGAATAAATTCGAAAACTTCTGTTACGTTTGTAGAAAATTTAAACCCGAACTTCAAAGAAAAAAAAAGTATATGAAATTACCAACCTTCCGTACTTTGCATGTCGTACTTGTGATCAGGACAAACTGTTGCGACTGTATGCGGCAGTTCAAAAGACGCGCGGAGACAACGGCTTCCCGGTGTTTGTCGAGGCGACGTACGGGCAAAGGGGGGGGGGGAAGGCAATGGGTGGAGCGGCAGTCGAGCAGCGAGGCTATGCGGGTGCCGGGAATAAAGCCGGGCACCGCCACCGGAGCAGAGACAGTGTGTGGGAGAAGTCCGGCGTGTCTACGACAGTCATTGAAGTTTTCGGATACTTGTTGCAACCTGGTATTGTGTTTGGATACTCTACTGGATCAACTGTGGCCTGTGCATTGTACATCTCTTAGTTTATCGTGACTTTTGGTTTCGTTCTGGATTTTCTATTGTTTGTAAGAAATCTACCTGTGGGCTGAATAAAACTTGTTGATGTTACATTGTTTTTTCTTGATACAACACAAACCATGTTTTGCTCACCATTATTGTGTCACCTGTACAACGAACCTCAGGTTGTTGTTGTATGGAAACTTAAATCATTCTTATTCGCTGCACCAATGTTGTGGAGAATACCAATAAATCATTTTAATGATTGTATATTATTGCACGAATATGTGTATTCCATTTTTAACTTGTTCCCTCTTATTAAACAAGCTCATATAATTTTGAAGTAATATAACTGAAGTGACAGTATAGAATTATGTTTATTTAAAATACTCAATATATTTATATCTTTTTAACCTTGCTTAATAGAAACGTTTTGTATTGATTTTCGACATCAGCGTAATCGTTTCCTATGAAATCACCTACTTCCATCCTGGAAGTAATAAAAAAACCTTTTTATTTTGTTCCCTATTGGTATTAGTGATTTCGGGGGCGTGAACTGTTAAGATCATTGGTCCCTTAAGCGGATTGCATGTTTTTTTATGCGGGGGAGGGTGCTGGTGATCTTTTTCCTGTGGATAATGAGATTCAGAACCGACATACCGTCGGGCAGCGGGGTTTTCCCGAATTCGATCTGTCCCACTAGCGGGGCACGGCTCCAGCCAGGAAAAGACATAAGCTCTCGACCAGTCTCGAGGCATGTGTGGTAGTGTGCATGTAAGCGTGCGTGTATAGGACCAAAAGAAGGAAAGAAAGATCGCGCGCGGTCTATGGACAGTTTTTTTAGGGAACTGCTCCGGCATTGGCCTGGTATTTATTAAAAAGAACACGAACTACCGATCAGAGCAGCCGTTCTCTAGAATTGTCCTCCAGACAACGGATGAATTCGACATAGCTGTGTAGCTAGGGTTGAAAATCCTGCCACTGCACCGTCGGAAATCGAACCCCAAGACCTCTCGGTCAGAGGAACGGCACTGATTTAATTGATGCCCTGAGCCACCTACGTCGGAGCGCAATCGCGGGGCTGCACGTACTAAAGGTCGCGCTTGTGCGTGAACTGCTAGCAGGCGACTGACGGTCGACAGGAGAGCGACTGGTGTCGAGTAAACACCTGTGGAGAATGGGGGGGGGGACTATTGTTATAACGGAAGACTATTCTGTCTCACTCGTGTGCGCTTTCAGTTTTGATACAGCAGATGCCGATGAAAGTGAACTATCATGCGCAGTGCACGCGACGATATGAACTGGAAACGCGCGGTACCGTACAGAAGACAGGCGTGTGTTGTTTTTAATGGACGGTTCTGTGTTTGAATTTAATTTTCTCTTTGGAGTCTTAGTACTATCGGAAACATATTGTTTAATGTCAATATTGTTTTTACTCATTCTTTTTATTCTTCTACAACTCTTATGAGAATATTTTTGTAGACAATAGATGTAGCAGCACACGTTCCAGTGACAGAACGCCGTCACCTTCTGAGATATAAAAAAATGCACCACCATCACAAGAGTAACGGCCGAAGTTGATGACGCGCCATGAATCAATAATCACTCTCTCGCTTCTATTTCTGCTTCTTGTCTGCTACAAATGGAACGTCTAGTTTGATTTATTGAGCACCTAGTACCTGCGGGAACTCCGTGACGAGGAAGAGAATGAGAACGCCCACCAGCATGCGCGTGGTGCGGTCTGTGCGGCGTTCGCTTCGCGCGCTGCCTCCACCGCCGCCGCCGCCCCCGCCGCCCCGCCGCCGCCGCCCGCACCGCCGCCGCCGCCCCGCGCCGGCCGCCGCCGTGTTCGTCAGGCCACCGCCACCGACGCGTCGCCGTTGCACTTGCCGTACCCCTTCAACGCTCGATGTCTCTGTGGGCAGCAGTTCAACACTCATTTCATAAACAGACCAGCAAAGTCTTTCCGCACTGAGCCGAATCAGGGGCTTCTATTAAAAATTGCATTTATGACGGGAACAACCAGACCCCTGTGAAACAAGTCAATGTTCAACACTTTCCAGCATCTGTTACGATTGTGGTGAATTCATAATTTACGTTTTCAAGCTGCAGGTCGTGCTACCAACGTAATTTTCGTAGCACGCCCTTTCACCAGCAAGGTGTCACTGCGGAGTGACATTTTTGGTACGATACTGACAATTATACAGGACTAGGTAAGAGAAAAATCATACAGGACTAGTAGAGTCCGACGAGAAACACGTTGTAAAAAAAATAACATACAACAATAATTAAAGTATAAATTAGGCTCCCCTCCCAGCCCTCGGGCAGATTGTAGGAGGTGGGTACTCATTGACCTGTTGTACCAGCTTTCAAATCAACTCTGATGTTCGTCACCTCTCTAGGCGGACTGAGGACTTCACAATTTGTAGCGAAGTTTAGGTGCCTAGCTCTTTTCGGGATGAGTAATTTCAAGTGAAAGAAATTATTAAATATTTCTTAAGTTGTTTTTCTGCGGAATGTATATTTTTGCACAGCGTTTTCTTCACTTTTATTCTTCTAGATTGTGTAAAAAAGGTTGTTGTTACATTGAGCCTACGCTCTGAGAATATTTTCAAGAGAGGTCGCATAAAAGATGGGAATAAATGAAGGAAAAAGAAAATTAATAAATTAACGTAATTGCTGTGCTTTGTACGGCTCGAGTGTGGCTCTACGATGCATACTCCCTCCAACCCCGATACAACGTCCACCTTATTGCTACTTATTGACTCAGATCAGAACCTTAACTTGACAACCGGCCTGGCTCTTTCTAAATTGTGTTAATGGTCTCCCGGGGCTACAACAGTTCTTCCAGTCTTGGAAATGCGCACTAAGTTTCGGTGAATGGCACACTGCGACGAAAGGTCAAAAAACACTTTCTACGAGAATCTTTGATTCTTATATATGTGCATATATTAGAATAATATGTCCACAAATGTCCATCAATCAATATATTAGGGTCATATATGTTATTGTACGTAATATATTATATTTATTAATTGTGTATTACTAGTGACCCCGGCTCAATGCTTCGCTATTGCACAATATTACACTTCACACGCTACTGGTCGCGTGTTTGTTGATCATATTTTGCGCTACGCTGTGCAAAAATTCTAAAAGATAAAAGGCTTCTTAATTTTCTTTAAGACACTATAACATCTTACCTACTTTAATTTATCAAAATGACAATATACCAGGGCTTTCTTCTACTGAACCAGTCAAATATTTAGGCATTATAGTGGACAGAAGATTTCAGTGGAAAAACAATATTCTAAACAGAATATCTTTAGCTAATAAACGCTGGCACCAACTTCTTTCGTTGCATTCCCTCAACATCAAAACGAAAGTTCGTACTTATCTAACAATGATTCGTCCCATTCTAACTTATGCCTGTTCAATCTGAGGTTCCTCTTTAAAACACCAATTAATAAAATTCAAGTATTTCAAAATTCTTGCCTCAGAACTCATATAAAAGTGCCACGGATTATTCTCAATGAACAAATTAGGCATTCTACCCATCAAAAAGTATTTTCTACAACTCTCCACTAAATTGTATTCCCACATAAACCATATACCATCAGCACTCCACTTTCAACTAGGAAAACATAACCCTCACCAAAACAGAATAAACGAAAACATCCGAAACATTTCTGTCATCCTCCTTAGTCGTTTTTCAACAATAAAGCTCACATACAGTAAAGCAATTTAGTTTATTTTCCTTACGATGCATTAGCTACATTTTGTCTCTCTTTCAACTCTTCAATCCTAAAATAAATAAAAACAAATTTCTTAACCTTCTTCCAAAACTCTCGCAGGCTAACGCATGCAAATATTCA